GGGTATATAACAAAGTATTGAGAAACTTTTGTTATTGAGCAAATGCTTATTTTCCACCATAATTTGCAAATAAATTCATAAAAAATCCTACAATGTGATTTTCTGGATTTTTTTTTGTTGTCATTTTGTCTGTCATATTTGACTTGTACCTATGATGAAAATTACAGGCCTCTCTCATCTTTATAAGTGGGAAAACTTGCACAATTGGTGGCTGACTAAATACTTTTTTCCCCCCACTGTATAGCCTTAGAAATAAGTTTTATGAAATCAATAACTTGCTAAAATCAGATAATATTAAATGTGCTTATCAAGTCATATAATAAGTTGCATGGACTCACTCTGTGTGCAATAATAGTATTTAACATGATTTTTGAATGACTGCCTCATCTCTGTACCACACACATACAGTTGAAGTCGGAAGTTTACATATACTTAGGTATACTTAGGTTGGAGTCATTAAAACTAGTTTTTCAACGAATTTCTTGTTAACAAACTATAGTTTTGGCAAGTCGGTTAGGACATCTACTTTGTGCATGACACAAGTCATTTTTACAACAATTGTTTACAGACAGATTATTTCACTTATAATTCACTGTATCACAATTCCAGTGGGTCAGAAGTTTACATACACTAAGTTGACTGTGCCTTTAAACAGCTTGGAAAATTCCAGAAAATGATGTCATGGTTTTAGAAGCTTCTGATAGGCTAATTGACATCATTTGAGTCAATTGGAGGTGCACTTGTGGATGTATTTCAAGGCCTACCTTCAAACTCAGTGCCTCTTCGCTTGACATCATGGGAAAATCAAAAGAAATCAGCCAAGACCTCAGAAACAAAATTGTAGACCTCCACAAGTCTGGTTCATCCTTGTGAACAATTTCCAAATGCCTGAAGGTACCACATTCATCTGTACGAACAATAGTATGCAAGTATAAACACCATGGGACCACGCAGCCTTCATATCGCTCAGGAAGGAGACGCGTTCTGTCTTCTAGAGATGAACGTACTTTGGTGCGAAAAGTGCAAATCAATCCCAGAACAACAGCAAAGGACCTTGTGAAGATGCTGGAGGAAACAGGTACAAAAGTATCTATATCCACAGGAAAACTAGTCCTATATGGACATAACCTGAAAGGCCGCTCAGCAAGGAAGAAGCCACTGCTCCAAAACCGCCATAAAAAAGTCAGACTACTGTTTGCAACTGCACATGGGGACAAAGATCGTACTTTTTGGAGAAATGTCCTCTGGTCTGATGAAACAAAAATAGAACTGTTTGGCCATAATGACCATCGTTATGTTTGGAGGAAAAAGGGGGTCGCTTGCAAGCCGAAGAACACCATCCCAACCGTGAAGCACAGGGGTGGCAGCATCATGCTGTGCGGGTGCTTTGCTGCAGGAGGGACTGGTGCACTTCACAAAATAGATGGTATCACGAGGAAGAAAAATTCTGTGGATATATTGAAGCAACATCTCAATACATCAGTCAGGAAGTTAAAACTTGGTCGAAATTGAGTCTTCCAAGTGGACAATGACCCCAAGTATACTTCAAAAGTTGTGGCAAAATGGCTTAAGGACAACAAAGTCAAGGTATTGGAGTGGCCATCACAAAGCCCTGACCTCAAACCTATAGAACATTTGTGGGCAGAACAGAAAAAGCATGTGCGATCAAGGAGGCCTACAAACCTGACTCAGTTACACCAGCTCTGTCAGGAGGAATGGGTCAAAATTCACCCAACTTATTGTGGGAAGCTTGTGGAAGGCTACCCGAAACATTTGACCCAAGTGAAACAATTTAAAGGCAATGCTACCAAAATTCTATTTGAGTGTATGTAAACTTCTGACCCACTGGTAATGTGATGAAAGAAATAAAAGCTGAAATAAATCATTCTCACTACTATTATTCTGACATTTCACATTCTTAAAATAAAGTGGTGATCCTAACTGACCTAAGACAGGGAATTTTTACTAGGATTAAATGTCAGGAATTGTGAAAAACTGAGTTTAAATGTATTTGGCTAAGGTGTATGTAAACTTCCGACTTCAACTGTACAATTATCTGTAAGGTCCCTAAGTAGAGCAGTGAATTTCAAACACAGATTCAACCACAAAGACCAGGGAGGTTTTCCAATGCCTCGCAAAGAATGGCACCTATTGGTAGATGGGTAAAAATAAAAAAGCAGACACTGAATATCCCTTTGAGCATGGTGAAGTTATTAATTACACTTTGGATGGTGTATCAATACACCCAGTCACTACAAAGATACAGGCGTCTTTCCTAACTCAGTTGCCGGAGAGGAAGGAATCTGCTCAGGGATTTCACCATGGCTGTAGGAGAAAACTGAGGATGGACACATCACTGAGTACCACTCTTCATATTTTCAAACATAGTGGTGACTGCATCATGGTATGGGTGTGCTTGTCATCTGCAAGGGAGTTTTTTAGGATAAAAATAAATGGAATCGAGCTAAGCACAGGCAAAATCCTAGAGGAAAACCTTGTTCATTCTGCTTTCCAACAGATACTGGGAGACAAATTCACTTTTCAGCAGGATAATAACATAAAAGACAAGACCAAATATACACGAGTTGCTTACCAAGACGACATTGAATGTTCCTTAGTGGCCTAGTTACAGTTTTGACTTAAATCGGCTTGAAAATCTATGGCGAGACATGAAAAAGTCTGTCTAGGAATGCTCAACAACCAACTTGACAGAACTTGAAGAATGTTTTAAAGAATAATGTGCAAATATTGTACAATCGAGGTGTGCAAAACTCTTAGAGACTTATCCAGGAAGACTAACAGCTGTTATCGCTGCCAAAGGTGATTCTAACATGTATTATACTTATGTAATCAAGATATATTATTGTTTTACTTCTCATAAATTCTTTACAAATGTTAACATTTTTTGTCCACTTTGACATTACAGAGTATTTTGTGTAGAACATTGATGACAAATGACAATTAAAACAATTTTAATCCCACCTTGTAACACAACAAAATGTGGAAAAGGTCAAGGGGTGTGAATACTTTCTGAAGTATTTGATATTTGGTTGCGTTGTCAACCAAACACAATTCAATATTACTTTTGTAATACTGTAAATAACCTAAAGTTAAGGCTATCTTACAAACAAATGTAACATTAAACCTTAAAATGAGTAACACGTTCATGGCCACCTTTTGAGGTTACTGTAACAAAAATGTATTCTTATGTTATCACATAAAGTGCGCATGTTCAAGATAGCATGGCATGAATAGGTCGTCGCAGATTTGTGGAGATCTTCACAATTGCTGTAATAATCTGCGCAACATCTCGAACAGCATTGATCACTTGCACAATGTCTTTTTAATGTAATCTCAACTGCAATCCAGATCATTTGGTTATGCTAGATGAAGCACAGTGATAACAATCTGTAATATAAATGAAAATATCTGACATTGTATTCCCATTTGAACTTTGCTGTGCTTTTAAATGTTTGAAAGCGCAGTGATAGATATTTGGGTGACAACTAAACCAAATATCAGACATTGTTTTTTTTACATTGGAATTTGGTTGTGCTTTTAGATGGTTGAAAGCACAGTGATGATAACAAATTGGAAATTCAACTAACTTTTGTCTGTCTTTATGAGTGGGTGAACATAGGTTGTAATCTCATTGATCAACACCTCAATGGGGGGGGGTGGGGGGGTGGATAGTGACGAAGTGAAAGTCTGTGAGAAAAAGTGAAGGAAAGACAGAAAGTGTGTGTGTGTGTCTGTCAGTCTGTCTGTCTTTGTATCTGTGTATGTGTGCCCTCCCAGTAGCCTTTATACTGTTCTCCTAAATCATTTATGTAGACACTCATCTCTCTCAGTACACAACGTCTTTGATGATGAGGTGCCCTTTGATGACAACTGAATTTAATTTGCATCTAAAAGCCTAGAAAATATTGAATTCATGATGATCAACACAATCTTGACTTCTAAGCAATTACTGTAATTATGTAAAATGTAAAACTTTGGACCACGTTCTGAATAATTCAAAATGTAAACAGACTTATTAAATATCATCCATTCAATATGGTAGAATGTTAAAGGGGAAGTTTAGGATTTTACAACTTGATGTTAGATGGCTCCTCACCCTGAAAGGAGAAACTGTAATGCATGGTTCGGTTTTCTTTAAACAGAGAAAACCGAACATTCTAACATCAAGTAGTAAAATCTGGAACTTCCCCTTTAAAATATTCCATGGCAGTGAACTAGCGTGATTAGTCATGCTGAAAGGATGCTAAATGATGTGATGTTTAAATACGTTTTAAAAACACCACAGAGATAGCTATGCTCAGACAGTCCCCTTGGTAAAACATATTTGCAGTCACCCCAGCCAACTCTATCAAAAATCTTCTTCACCCATCCCACACAATCTGCAGCACATTGGTCATTTCTGTCTGCAGTCAAAGGTACATGTGCTTGACAGGCAGCCACAAAAATTGTTAATAGATAGCCCCTATCTATAGTATGTACAATCATGTTTTAGCTTGGGTTGTGCCTAGTGTCTGTGAGTTCGATGGTTAATGTGTAACCCCCGCAACTAACTCAATCTGGAGTCGTGGAGATGCCCAGAGGAACATTGCTCTTTGATAAGCCAGCTGGTGTTGGGTGCTGAGTCACTGGACACACGACTGGACAAATAGGTGACAAGTTAGCACACATAATGACAGTTTGACTGGGCCCACACCACCGCAGGACAACGCTGTGTCTGAACACTGTGTCTGAACAGCGCATGTTGGACTGAGCATATTTGGACATCACTTTTATATCACTTGGTTGAACAACACTCAACTTGGGACGTACTACTAGTTGGTCGGAACACTGCTCAACTTGTTCTAAATACTACTCCACTATCTTGGTTGGACTACCACTCAACTTGGTCTGGCTACCGGTCAACGTGGTCTAAAAACTATTTAACCAGCTTGAGCTGACTACCTCTGACCAGGTTTCAAACCCTGACCCGTCTTGAGTAGTAACCCTGCTTCAGGAGGTCATGGATGGTGGCTCTAAAGGACCCAGGGGTCAGCTCCTGCACCTGGATGTGTGTGTGGATGAGCAGAAGCCTCGCAGCGGTGTCCTAGAGCTCCTTGGGAGACTGAGGCCCCAGTGGAAGCCACAGGACATCAAGATGAAGGTAAGTGAAGGTATCATGATGAATCTAAGTTGTCACATGAGTATGCCAATGGGCAAAACTGGTTGAAATGATGTTGTAATGCTGTAATTTCAACCAGTTTTGCCTGCTGGAATGTAAGTGAGAAGTATTAGTGTTCTGAGAAGTGAGTAGTATTAAACCCTGGTTTTGTTGTCGTGTGCATCAGGCCTTGAACATGTTTCAATGAAAAAACATTCCCCTCAACCTTCATTGCATCGCAGCGCTTGAGGCGCCACTACAGACTCAGGTTCGGTCCCAGGCTGTGTCACAGCCGGCCGTGACGGGAAACCCCAGGAGGCGGCGCACAATTGGGCCAGCGTCGTCCGGGTTAGGGGAGGGTTTGGCCGGCCAGGATTTCCTTTTCACATCGCGCTCTAGTGACTCCTTGTTGTGGGCCGGGCGCCTGCAAGCTGACTCGGTCGCCAGCTGGACAGTGTTTCCTCCGACACATTGGTGCGGCTGGCTTCCGGTTTAAGCGAGCTGTGTGTCAAGAAGCAGTGCGGCTTGGCAGGGTCGTGATTCAGAGGACGCATGGCTCTTGACCTTCGCCTCTCCCAAGTCCGTAGGGGAGTTGCAGCGATGGGACAAGACTGTAACTACCAATTGGATATCACGAAAATAAAAAAAACATAGAAATCACATAGAACATCTGTCCTCAGCTAACATAGCTTCTCTTAAGGACTCCATTCGTGTGTGCAAGCAGTGGGGCAATCTCCCGGAGAAATAGGATCTATGTTTGTCAGGGTCACAGTGAAACGGGACTGACCTCTCAATCTAGAACAGGTCTTGTTTAAGCACACAGAGAGATGAACGCTAACCCCCAGAGTTCCCTCTCAAGCCCTCTCAATCACTATTGTGTCTGTAGGTTTGTGGGGACTCTGAGCAAAAATATTAAACAAAAAATAGACACTCTTGGTTCATAAAGACGAAGCTGTTCAAAAACGAGAGAAAAGTGGATATATAGACATCTCAGAGAAGTTCTCTAAAAGTAGGCAGCATAGCCTCTCAAACTGTCTCTGGATTGAATTGAAGCTTTTCTGTATGGCTCAATCTCGACTCCTAGACAGACATGGCCGAGTTGAATAGATATGCGTCAGACTGAATTAGGGCGAGAGACTTTTCAGTCAGTTGGATAGAGAAATTACCCTCAGCAGAGCTTAGACCAGGACATCTAGTTTCACTGACTGGGTTGTGTTCATTAGACACGAAACCGAACAAAACGGCCTGAAACAGGGAGGGACTACCTAGACTTAATGTACTTTTTCTGTGGAAAAGATTGAGAAATTCTTACTGCACTCCAATTCATCCAATTCATTTTGTGGTCCTCATACCTCTATTGAAGTACGAAACAGGTGGTCTAATCATCTTTTAAACTCCTTAAAAAAGTAATCTATTCAAACGAGGCAAATACCTCTCCTTGAACCAGGCCCCGTGTTTTGGGAACAGGAATACAACTAATTGTTGTTTTAAGTTGGATCTAGGAAGAGTTATACTAACGAAGCATGGGTTCCATCAAATGTGAGTGCACAACAGCATGAAGGCTACAGTGGCATTGGTGAACGGTGCTCACCACATTGCGCAAACCCAGAACCAAATCTTGGCCAGCTAACAATTGTTCTTAGAGTCAACTCAAGTTCGCGACAACATTTGTGATTGCTAGCCAACAAAAGGCAGATTCTCGCTAGAATACACGCCCACACATGTAAATGTAAATGCATGGTCCTTCATGTTCAAGAATAGGTTATGGGTTTGCTTTCTTTGTCCCACATACCACACCGGTTTGATGACAAAAGCCTGTGGCATTGTATTACAATAGCCTATCTTGTGTTAGCTGTGGCATGTTTGTTCAAATGGCTCTCAATCCAGCGCTATGAATACTTCATCAAATGTCAAGGTGACCATGTTTGTTCTCTGCCACTCTCGATGAAACATTGTGTTACATGCAGTCCCTTCGGGGTTTGAGGAGACCTTGGGGGACAGTGGGAGTGAGAGAACGCTGAGCAGGCAGTAAATGGAAATAAACGTGCATTGATGTGCATGTGGAGGGTCTGATATTGCTTACCATGGTCACATCATAACCACTGAACATTTTCCTGTCAGTGCTCAATAATGCAAGTGGCCTGTAGGGTTTGTCCTTGAAATTGTCCCAATCAGTTACGTAATACACTGGAGTGACTATAAATGCTTACAAGCAGGATATTTAAATGTTTCATTTTAATAGTTCCTCAAATTAAAGGGATAGTTCACTCAAATTACAAAATTACATATTGGTTTCCTTACCCTGTAAGCAGTCTATGGACAAGGTCAGACAGTAGTCGATGCTTTGGTTTTGTTTATCTGGCCACTCTCTACAGGGAAGGTAATGGTATGGTATTTTGGTGAACAATCCCTTTAATGAGTAGGACCATACCTCTCTCCCTCCCTGGATGAGTCTCCGCTGGCTTTGAATAAGAGATTGGATTGTCTCTCTTTGGTTATATTGTTTATTGGGCTCAATCATCATAACATTGATATTCTTATTGTAATGTAAAGTTGGAAGTCATAAACTATTGCGACCTGTCATAATACCATAACTTTAAAGGCTTTATGAATGCTGGCCCAATTTAAGTGTTATGCTATTACTTTAAACAGGAACTTATGACTTAATTTTAGGATCCACATGTATGTTATATTGAATGTTTTAGTTTTCTACGGAACAGCATTTGCCCACATGGAACACTCCACAGCACCGCAAATCTCTACTTTTTTCCATTTTTAATCTCATGCAGTTTGGACCTTTGTTTGGACTTATTCTGATCTTTTTGTGTGTTTTTCCCCTCTCTTTCCTCATTCATATTTTTATAAATTTTTGGACAGTGCAGGAACAGAGATTATTAGTCCACAGGCCTATCACCATAAACATACAAAACATAATTGATGTAGACATCATGCATAAAAGTTATATAATCTGATTTAGAACAGGGGGAGTGGGAGACACTCACATACAAAACAGGTAGACAGTAGTGATGGGGGAAAAATCGATACAGTTACATATCGGGATATTATTTTTTACGATAAATTGTATCGTTTCAATATTATTTTTGTGCTAGTTGGCTGTACCTGCACCAAAGCTCCAGTATTTCTTTCTTCATAGCTTGTTCTCCATCTTCTTTTTAAATAGGGAGCCAATTTGTTTTCAGAAGTTTTATTTCTATGACTGATCAAAATTCATTTTCTCATGGCACTCTCATGTCCATCTGCAACAGAGCAATACAGTGGGGTAAAAAAGTATTTAGTCAGCCACCAATTGTGCAAGTTCTCCCACTTAAAAAGATGAGAGAGGCCTGTAATTTTCATCATAGGTACACGTCAACTATGACAGACAAAATGAGGAAATAAAATTCTGAAAATCACATTGTAGGATTTTAAATGAATTTATCTGCAAATTATGGTGGAAAATAAGTATTTGGTCAATAACAAAAGTTTCTCAATACTTTGTCATATACCCTTTGTTGGCAATGACACAGGTCAAACGTTTTCTGTAAGTCTTCACAAGGTTTTCACACACTGTTGCTGATGTTTTGGGGCTGTCGCTGGGCAACACGGACTTTCAACTCCCTCCAAAGATTTTCTATGGGGTTGAGATCTGGAGACTGGCTAGGCCACTCCAGGACCTTGAAATGCTTCTTACGAAGCCACTCCTTCGTTGCCCGGGCGGTGTGTTTGGGATCATTGTCATGCTGAAAGACCCAGCCACATTTCATCTTCAATGCCCTTGCTGATGGAAGGAGGTTTTCACTCAAAATCTCATGATACATGGCCCCATTCATTCTTTCCTTTACACGGATCAGTCGTCCTGGTCCCTTTGCAGAAAAACAGCCCCAAAGCATGATGTTTCCACCCCCATGCTTCATAGTCTGTATGGTGTTCTTTGGATGCAACTCAGCATTCTTTGTCCTCCAAACACGACGAGTTGAGTTTTTACCAAAAAGTTCTATTTTGGTTTCATCTGACCATAAGACATTCTCCCAATCCTCTTCTGGATCATCCAAATGCCCTCTAGCAAACTTCAGACGGGCCTGGACATGTACTGGCTTAAGCAGGGGGACACGTCTGGCACTGCAGGATTTGAGTCCCTGGCAGCGTAGTGTGTTACTGATGGTAGGCTTTGTTACTTTGGTCCCAGCTCTCTGCAGGTCATTCACTAGGTTCCTCCGTGTGGTTCTGGGATTTTTGCTCACCGTTCTTGTGATCATTTTGACCCCACGGGGTGAGATCTTGCGTGGAGCCCCAGATCGAGGGAGATTATCAGTGGTCTTGTATGTCTTCCATTTCCTAATAATTGCTCCCACAGTTGATTTCTTCAAACCAAGCTGCTTACCTATTGCAGATTCAGTCTTCCCACCCTGGTGCAGGTCTACAATTTTGTTTCTGGTGTCCTTTGACAGCTCTTTGGTCTTGGCCATAGTGGAGTTTGGAGTGTGACTGTTTGAGGTTGTGGACAGGTGTTTTTTATACTGATAACAAGTTCAAACAGGTGCCATTAATACAGGTAACGAGTGGAGGACAGAGGAGCCTCTTAAAGAAGAAGTTACAGGTCTGTGAGAGCCAGAAATCTTGCTTGTTACCATAATTTGCAAATAAATTCATTAAAAATCCTAGAATGTGATTTTCTGGAAAAAAAATTCTCAATTTGTCTGTCATAGTTGACATGTACCTATGATGAAAATTACAGGCCTCTCTCATCTTTTTAAGTGGGAGAACTTGCACAATTGGTGGCTGACTAAATACTTTTTTCCCCCACTGTATATTTGGAACATCGAATCGCAATAAAATCACAGTATCAAATCGCAATACATACAGAATCGTGAGTGTCGCAATAAATATTGTATCGGCACCAATTTATATAATATCGTGAGTTCCCTGGCAATTCCCAGCCCTAGCAGACAGGTACACACATGGGTGGGCTGTGACGGCGCAGCTGAGCTTGCTCTCTGTGTGAAACCTCAGAGCAGGGAAGTAACGGCTCATGAGGGGGTTAATATGTGGATGAGAGTCAAGATCGTTACCGCTCAACCAGACTCTATCGACACCATCCTGACATTGTTGTCTTGTGTTCAGGTGTTCACCGAGGGCATCACCAACCAGCTCATGGGCTGCTTCGTGGGCTCGCTCCAGGAGTTGGGGGCTGTGCTGGTGCGTGTGTACGGGAGGATGACAGAGCTCTATGTGGACCGGGAGAGAGAGGTGGAGATGTTCAAGATACTCCACAGTCACAACTGCGGCCCGCAGATCTACTGCAGCTTCCAGAACGGCATCTGCTATGAGTTTGTGAGGGGGACCGTGTTGGACAACACACTGCTCACACAGCCTGACATCTATAGGTATCTGTGAAAATGTATAAATGTCTTACACATACTGTACATTTACAGTACAGAAAAAAATTACAGGGATTTCATCATGAGGCCATTGGTGACTTTTAAACAGTTACAGAGTTTAATGGCTGTGATAGGAGAAAACTGAGGATGGATCAACAACATTGTAGTTACTCCACAATACTAACCTAATTGACAGATTGAAAAGAAGGAAGCTTTTACAGAATACACATATTCCAAAACATGCATCCTGTTTCCAACAAAGCACCAAAATAATACTGCAAAGAAATGTGGGAAAGCAATTAACTTTTTATCCTGAATACAAAGTGTTATGTATGGGGCAAATCCAATACAACACATTACTGAGTACCACTCTCCATTATTTTCAAGCATAGTGGTGGCTGCATTATGTTATGGGTATGCTTGTAATCGTTAAGGACTGTGGATTTTTTCAGGATAAAAAAATAAAACGGAATAGGCCTCCCGAGTGGCACAGCAGTCTAAGGCACCCGGGTTCGATCCCAGGCTGTGTCACAACCGGCCGTGACCGGGAGTCCCATAGGGCGGCGCACAATTGGCCCAGCGTCGTCTGGGTTAGGGGAGGGTTTGGCCGTGGGGCTCATTGCGCTCTAGCGACTCCTTGTGGCGGGCCGGGCGCCTGCAGGCTGACTTCGGTCGTCAGATGAACAGTGTTTCCTCCGACACGTTGGTGCAGCTGGCTTCCGGGTTAAGTGGTCGGGTGTTAAGAAGCACGGTTTGGTGGGTCTTGTTTCGGAGGACGCATGACTTGGCCTTTGGCTCTCCCAAGCCTGTTGTGGAGTTGCAGCGATGAGACAAGATCGCAATTGGATATCACGAAATTGGGGAGAAAAAGAGGGTTAAATTAAAAAAAATAAAAAATAAGATACAAAAAATGTAATACAATTAAGCACAGGCAAAATCCTATGGGAAAATGTGGTTCAGTCTGCTTTCCACCAGACACTGGGAGATGAATTCACCTTTGAGCAGAACAATAACCTAAAACACAAAGCCAAATCTTCTCAGGAGTTGCTTACTAAGAAGACAAGTAATGTTCCTGAGTGGCCTAGTTACAGTCAAGACTTTAAAAGGGTTGTCTATCAGTGATCAACAACCTATTTGACAGAGTTTTTGTACAATCCAGATGTGCAAAGATCTTAGACACTTACCCAGAAAGACTGTAATCACTGACAAAGGTGATTCGAACATGTATTGACTGAAGGGTGTGAATACTTGTTCTAAACAAAAATATAAATGCAACATGTAAAGTGTTGGTCCCATGTTTCATGAGCTGAAATAAAAGATCCCAGAAATGTTCCATATGCACAAAAAGCTTTTTTCTCTAAAATGTTGTGCACATATTTGTTTACATCCCTGTTAGTGAGCATTTCTCCTTTGCCAAGATAATCCATCCACCCGAAAGGTGTGGCATATCAAGGAGCTGATTAAACAGCATGATCATTACACAGGTGCACCTTGTACTGGGGACAATAAAAGGCTACTCTAAAATGTGCAATTTGTCACACAACACAATGACACAGATGTCTCAAGTTTTGAGGGAGCGTGCAATTGGCATGCTGACTGCAGGAATGTCCATAGCTGTTGCCAGATAATTTAATGTTAATTTCTCTATCAGCGTTGTTTTAGAGAATTTGGCAGTACGTCCAACCGGCCTCACAACCACAGACCACATGTATGGCGTTGTGTGGGCGAGCGGTTTGCTGATGTCAACGTTGTGAACAGAGTGCCGCATGGTGGCGGTGGGGTTATGGTATGGGCAGCAATACGCTACGGACAACGAACAGAATTGCATTTTATCGATGGCAATTTGAATGCACAGAGATACAGTGGCTTGCGAAAGTATTCAGCCCCCTTGGCATTTTTCCTATTTTGTTACCTTACAACCTGGAATTAAAATGGATTTTTGGGGGGGTTGTATCATTTGATTTACACAACATGCCTACCACTTTGAAGATGCAAAATATTTTTGTGAAACAAACAAGAAATAAGATACAAAAAACTGAAAACTTGAGCGTGCATAACCCCCCCAAATGTGTTTGCTTATTTTGTTCTTTAAGCAATGGCTTTTTTTTGGCCACGCTTCCGTAAAGCCCAGCTCTGTGGAGAGTACGGCTTAAAGTGGTCCTATGGACAGATACTCCAATCTCCGCTGTGGAGCTTTGCAGCTCCTTCAGGGTTATCTTTGGTCTCTTTGTTGCCTCTCTGATTAATTCCCTCCTTGCCTGGTCTGTGAGTTTTGGTGGGCGGTTCTCTCTTGGCAGGTTTGTTGTGGTGCCATATTCTTTCAATTTTTTTATTGTGGATTTAATGGTGCTCCGTGGGATGTTCAAAGTTTTGGATATTTTCTTATAACCCAACCCTGTCTGTACCATTCCACAACTTTGTCCCTGACCTGTTTGGAGAGCTCCTTGGTCTTCATGGTGCCGCTTGCTTGGTGGTGCCCCTTGCTTAGTGGTGTTGCAGACTCTGGGGCCTTTCAGAACAGAGGGAAAAAAGTATTTGATACCCTGCTGATTTTGTACGTTTGCCCACTGACAAAGAAATGATCAGTCTATCATTTTAATGGTAGGTTTATTTGAACAGTGAGAGACAGAATAACAACAACAAAAATCCAGAAAAACGCATGTAAAAAATGTTATATATTGATTTGCATTTTAATGAGGGAAATACGTTTTTGACCCCCTATCAATCAGAAAGAGTTCTGGCTCCCAGGTGTCTTTTATACAGGTAACGAGCTGAGATTAGGAGTACACTCTTAAAGGGAGTGCTCCTAATCTCATCTTGTTACCTGTATAAAAGACACCTGTCCACAGAAGCAATTAATCAATCAGATTTAAAACTCCCCACCATGGCCAAGACCAAAGAGCTCTCCAACGATATCAGGGACAAGATTGTAGACCTACACAAGGCTGGAATGGGCTACAAGAACATCGCCAAGAAGCTTGGTGAGAAGATGACAACAGTTGGTGCGATTATTCGCAAGTGGAAGAAACACAAAAGAACTGTCAATCTCCCTCAGACTGGGGCTCCATGCAGGATCTCACCTCATGAAGTTGCAATGATCATGAGAACAGTGAGGAATCAGCCCAGAACTACACGGTAGGATCTTGTCAATGATCTCAAGGCAGCTGGGACCATAGTCACCAAGAAAACAATTGGTAACACACTACGCCGTGAAGGACTGAAATCCTGCAGCGCCCGCAAGGTTCCCCTGCTCAAGAAAGCACAAATACAGGCCCGTCTGAAGTTTGCCAATGAACATCTGAATGATTCAGAGGAGAACTGGGTGAAAGTGTTGTGGTCAGATGAGACCAAAATCGAGCTCTTTGGCATCAACTCAACTTGCCCTGTTTGGAGGAGGAGGAATGCTGCCTATGACCAAAAGAACACCATCCCCACCGTCAAACATGGAGGTGGAAACATTATGCTTTGGGGGTGTTTTTCTGCTAAGGGGACAGGACAACTTCACCGCATCAAAGGGACGATGGACGGGGCCATGTACCGTCAAATCTTGGGTGAGAACCTCCTTCCCTCAGCCAGGGCATTGAAAATGGGTCGTGGATGGGTATTCCAGCATGACAATGACCCAAAACACACGGCCAAGGCAACAAAGGAGTGGCTCAAGAAGAAGCACATTAAGGTCCTGGAGTGGCCTAGCCAGTCTCCAGACCTTAATCCCATAGAAAATCTGTGGAGGGAGCTGAAGGTTTGAGTTGCCAAATGTCAGCCTCAAAACCTTAATGACTTGGAGAAGATCTGCAAAGAGGAGTGGGACAAAATCCCTCCTGAGATGTGTGCAAACCTGGTGGCCAACTACAAGAAACGTCTGACCTCTGTGATTGCCAACAAGGGTTTTGCCACCAAGTACTAAGTCATGTTTTGCAGAGGGGTCAAATACTTATTTCCCTTATTAAAATGCAAATCAATTTATAACATTTTTGACATGCATTTTTCTGGATTTTTTTGTTGTTATTCTGTCTCTCACGGTTCAAATAAACCTACCATTAAAATTATAGACTGATCATGTCTTTGTCAGTGGGCAAACGTACAAAATCAGCAGGGGATCAAATACTTTTTTCCCTCACTGTATATTCTGAGATCATGTGACAGATCATGTGACACTTAGATTGCACACAGGTGGACTTTATTTAACTAATTATGTGACTTCTGAAGGTAATTGGTTGCACCAGATCTTATTTAGGGGCTTCATAGCAAAGGGGGTGAATACATATGCACGCATCACTTTTCCGTTATTAATTTTTTAGAATTTCTGAAACAAGTTATTTTTTCTTAATTTCATTTCACGAATTTGGACTATTTTGTGTATGTCCATTACATGAAATCCAAATAAAAATCCATTTAAATTACAGGTTGTAATGCAACAAAATAGGAAAAATGCCAAGGGGGATGAATACTTTTGCAAGGCACTATACCATGATGAGATCCTGAGGTCCATTGTCGTGCCATTCATCCACCTCCATCATTTCATGTTTCCGCATGATAATGCATGATATCGATCTGTACAGAATTCCTGGAATCTGAAAATGTCCCAGTTCTTCCATGGCCTGCATACTCACCAGACATGTCACCCATTGACATGTCACCCATTGAGATGGTCTGGATCGATGTGTACGACAGTGTGTTCCAGTTCCCGCCAATATCCAGCAACTTCGCATTAAAGAGGAGTGGGACAACAATCCACAGGCCACAATCAACAGCCTGTGGACTACCTCATGAAGCTGGTTGAGAGAATGCCAAGAGTGTGCAAAGCTGTCATCAAGGCAAAGGGTGGCTATTTGAAGAATCACAAATCTCAAATATATTTTGATTTGTGTTATTTCATAGTTTTGATGTCTTCACTATAATTCTACAATGTAAAAAATAGTAAAAATAAAGAAAAACCCTTGAATGAGTAGGTTTGTCCAAACTTTTGACTGGTAGTGTGTATCATAAATGACTGGTTTTTGTGAATTTGATTATATAATCTTGAAGTCTAGTAAAGAGATTATGGTACATGGAAGTACGACGTAGAAAAGCATCACTTTCATAGGGTACTGGAGCAGTGTCAATCCAGTGGGTCTCACATTGGATCTGAAAGTGAATGATAACAGTGGAGCATGGGAATGGAGGAATGAGAGGGCTATACATCCATGTGTCTGGTGGGGGTCATGGGAGTACTCAGAGGAGAGGATAGGGTCGCTGAGCTATCAGAGAACAAAACAATGTGAAATCTTTCACAGGTTCTTAGAGGGTTTTCTTTAGGGTAGCACCTGCTGGTTGGCTGGCTGGCTGGCTGGCTGGCTGGCTGGCTGGCTGGCTGTGTGTGTGTGTGTGTGTGTGTGTGTGTGTGTGTGTGTGTGTGTGTGTGTGTGTGTGTGTGTGTGTGTGTATTTGTTTGTTTTTACTGTATGTAAGTCTCTCAGTGTGTGAGTTTGGGGCGCTGATTTAGATTTGGGTCTGGAGAATGGTTTCTCAGTGGTACCAGATTAAAGAGTATGTTTGTTGGACTCCACCTGTCCTAATACCAACCAAACAACTACAGTCACATTTCTGTAATTACCTTCAACCTTCTGACTTACTTTTACCAAACTCATTAAATATGCTCAGTCTTCGATTCACTACCTCTCATGTATGCAAATCAGTTATACAGTGTATATTATGCTTGTATTTCATTATATATATTATGCCGATTATTTAATGTAAATCAGTTTCCTTAGATTTACTCCCTGGATACATTTCCTTAGATCCCCTGAACCAGTTTACTTAGGTTTTACTCCCATTGATCAATGTTAACTCTGGATCAATTTCCTTAGATCCTCTGAACCAATTTCCTTAGGTTCTACACGTGATTGTAGGTAAACTCTAGATCAATTCCCTTAGATCCTACTGTCCACCTGCCAGATTAATTATTATAGGAAAATAATTCTGCCAAATTGAACCCCAAAATTTAGTGGATGAGGAGGACAAGAGATCTTTCACCATTAAGACTTAGCTGGAAAACAGACAATACCTCACAGAGATTTTTGAATAAGGTCTCTTACCTTCTTAATTGTGGCCGGAGGGATGTCTGGGTCCAAGCCGAGTGAAATGGGTCAAAAAGTCAAGTCGCTTTTTTTGGGGGGGCAATATCTTGGCTCAGTCTCATTTGTAGTTATGTTCTAAAATTATACTCATTTTTTTCGTTCTGTAGATTGATTGCAACAGAAATGGGAAAAATCCACTCGATCAAGCTTGAATCGGACCCTGTGGAGAATATTCTGTGGAAGAAGATGGCCCAGTTTCTCAAACTTGTCCATAATGCTCAGAGCAACACACCAGCACCACATAGGTGAGTTAACACAACACTATCTACTTAGAAACGTAGACATTTTATTGTTTGCTAAATGTTTTTTGTAAACCAAAGATTTGCAATAGTCTTTCACTTTCCTCTTCCTCTATGAGTTGTGTTGACGGTGAAGTCTGACTCACTTAGCCAGTCTTTACTGTTGCTGCGTTCATAACCAAGTGGGAAGGTGGTATTTACCCCATATAACTGGGAAAGATCCAGTTGAATGGCCCTCCAACTGGTAATTACTAGTGGTAAATTCGTCTATCATCCCCGAGCTCCGACTTCTCCTACATGCTGAACTCTTGACGTCACATATTTAGGAAATACCTCGGTAACACAGAAAAAAAATACAATAAAAGTAATCTATTAATAAAAAGCAATTATTTGTTTTTTGAACACTATCATTTGTTTGTGAGCATAATGTGTACTTTTAGATTATGTTTGACACAGCTTGTTTGCCATTAGCCAATCTGTGTTTCTCAACGGGTTCAAAGCATGTGAATAAATCCAATTTGTATTTAAAGATGCACTATGCAGAAATCGCTCCGCCATTTCCTGGTTGCTAAAATTCTAATAGTTTGCCTAATTTCAGTTTATGTGACAAAACAAGCAGTCATTGTGTAGAGAATCATTGTACCATCTAAACCACTGTGAAATATATTTTCCATAACCAAAAATATTATATTTTAGCTGTTTGAAGATGGTGAACAAAATGAAAGTAAAAGACGCAAAATGAAACTTCAGAAAGGGAAGCATAGAAATTGCACATATAGAACAGCTCTACCGCTTCTTAGACTTGCTTTCAATGAAAGATCTAAAACTCAAATTTCTATGTGCATTTGGACAGGTTGCCCAAAAAGTTACATATTGTAGCTTTAAGACTGAACAACTGGAAATTACCAGCTTCCTACTTTGTTATGAATGCAGCATTAGTCCAGTCTCTCTTGCTATGTGGGGACACCAAGATGAGAAGCAGTGATTGGCCCATTGAGGATGTGGGGGAGTGGCGCCTGTGGTAATGACATTGTGCTATCTTAGCCAGGGTCACAGGGTGAAATGTGAGAGGGAACCTCCAGACACTACAAATAAAAGCAGATATTAGCTCGGGTTTCCTTGAAACGCTCTCTCCCTTATCAGTCAAATGTTCTGCGTTGTTTATGTTTGCTGCGAGGGGTCGGAAGTCCATGCAAACCAGAGTCAAACTAGAGTCGCAAAGTACTGGGGTCTGCTTTAGTTTTTCAGATTGAAAGAATATCACCATACTAGTCCAGTATGTTCTTTCTGTTTTTTCTGTTTTGGGGGGAGAGGGCAAGGCAATTAGCTATGGAGTGGGTCATCCATTTAACATAGAAGTGCTATGGGGAGATTGGGACCTCGATGATAAGATAGAAGCAGCTTCCTTCATACATACAGTTGAAGTCGGAAGTTTAGATACACCTTAGCCAAATACATTTAAACTCAGTTTTTCACAATTCCTGACATTTAATCCTAGTAAAAATTCCCTGTCTTAGGTCAGTTAGGATCACCACTTTATTTTAAGAATGTGAAATGTCAGAATAATAGTAGAGAGAATGATTTATTTAAGCTTTTATGTCTTTCATCACATTCCCAGTGGGTCAGAAGTTTACATACACTCAAATAGTATTTGGTAGCATTGCCTTTAAATTGTTTCACTTGAGTCAAATGTTTCAGGTAGCCTTCCACAAGCTTCCCACAATAAGTTGGGTGAATTTTGGCCCATTCCTCCTGACAGAGCTGGTGTAACTGAGTCAGGTTTGTAGGCCTCCTTGCTCGCACACGCTTTTTCAGTTCTGCCCACACATTTTCTATAGGACTGAGGTCAGGGCTTTGTGATGGCCACTCCAATACCTTGACTTTGTTGTCCTTAAGCCATTTTGCCACAACTTTGGAAGTATGCTTGGGGTTATTGTCCATTTGGAAGACCCATTTGCGACCAAGCTTTAACTTCCTGACTGATGTCTTGAGATGTTTCTTCAATATATCCACATAGTTTTCCTTCCTCATGATGCCATCTATTTTGTGAAGTGCACCAATCCCTCCTACAGCAAAGCACCCCCACAGCATGATGCTGCCACCCCCGTGCTTCATGGTTGGGATGGTGTTCTTCGGCTTGCAAGCCTTCCCCTTTTTCCTCCAAACATAACGATGGTCATTATGGCCAAACAGTTCTATTTTTGTTTCATCAGACCAGAGGACATTTCTCCAAAATGTACAATCTTTGTCCCCATGTGCAGTTGCAAACCATACTCTGGCTTTTTTATGGCGGTTTTGGAGCAGTGGCTTCTTCCTTGCTGAGAGGCCTTTTAGGTTATGTCGATATAGGACTCGTTTTACTGTGGATATAGATACTTTTGTACCTGTTTTCTCCAGCATCTTCACAAGGTCCTTTGCTGTTGTTCTGGGATTGATTTGCACTTTTCGCACCAAAGTACGTTAATTTTTTTACATTTACATTTTAGTCATTTTGCAGACACTCTTATCCAGAGCAACTTACAGTTAGTGAGTGCATACATTTTCATACTGGCCCCCCGTGGGATACGAACCCACAACGCTGGCGTTGCAAGCGCCATACTCTACCAACTGAGCTACATGGGACTAGGAGACAGGAGACAGTCATCTCTAGGAGACAGAACGCGTCTCCTTCCTGAGCGGTATGATGGCTGTGTGGTCCCATGGTGTTTATACTTGCGTACTATTGTTTGTACAGATTAACGTGGTACCTTCAGGCGTTTGGAAATTGATCCCAAGGATGAACCAGACTTCTGGCGGTCTACAAAAAAAAATTCTGAGGTCTTTGCTGATTTCTTTTGATTTTCCCATGATGTCAAGCAAAGAGGCACTGAGTTTGAAGGTAGGCGTTGAAATACATCCACAGGTACACCTCCAATTGACTCAAATGATGTAAAATTAGCTTGTCAGAAGCTTCTAAAGCCATGACATCATTTTATAGAATTTTCCAAGCTGTTTAAAGGCACAGTCAACTTAGTATATGTAAACTTCTGACCACTGGAATTGTGATACAGTGAATTATAAGTGAAATAATCTGTCTGTAAACAATTGTTGGAAAAATTACTTGTGTCATGCACAAAGTAGATGTCCTAACCTACTTGCCAAAACTATAGTTTGTTAACAAGAAATGTGTGGAGTGGTTGAAAAACAAGTTTAATGACTCCAACCTAAGTGTATGTAAACTTCCGACTTCAACTGTATGAGATGGAGTCAGAATGTCTCTAGTAGTCTTTTTAACATTGCTATGACAGGACACAGACAACTAACTTTTTGTGTGTAACATCCCATATAGTTCTATTTTAAAGTGTTGTCACATATACATGATCTAAAAATAAATAAAGAGTCTCACACGCTATATATAAACTCCCAGTAATCTATTTGGTAAACCACCAACATTTCGGCATCACTGTGCCTTCTTCAGGGTAATGTCATGAATAATTTAACCAGGTTATGTAGACAAACAGTGTAATTAGTGCAACCAATGACAATAGTAAGGGGTGTGTCATAGTTACTGGTGGTCTACAAGCATGGCCACAATATTGGCGATAGCTCAATGAGATCTGACCTGCCCACTCAGACACTCTTGACACCCATTCCAAATGGGAACTACATTTTACATTACATTTTACATTTTAGTCATTTAGCAGACGCTCTTATCCAGAGCGACTTACAGGAGCAATTAGGGTTAAGTGCCTTGCTCAAGGGCACATCGACAGATTTTTCACCTAGTCGGCTCAACTACAAATGTGGCTCATACGAAGAGTGCAATAGCACTACAAAAATATCCTTCTTCAGACACCCACATACAGGTCGAAAAATTCCTGTTAGGGGTATCATCTCATGCAAGACAAAGGGAGTAATCTATCTCATCACCTGTTCATGTGGGAAAGCCAACGTAGGACAAATGAAAAGACAATTAAAACAACGCATAGCTGAATACCAAAGCTCAATCAGATGTAAGAACACTATCCAGTAGCAGCTCACTTTGTTGGAGCTAACCATCCTATGTCCTCCCTCAAATACACAGGTATTGAGCATGTAATTCTACCAAGGAGAGGAGGTAACATCAAGACCCTACCACTACAGAGGGAGGCTTACTGGCTCTCCTATCTAAAAACATTGACCCCTAATGGTCTGAATATTGACTTTGATCTCAAGCCCTTCTTATGAATAATTGTCGTTTTTTATGAACAAGTCTGATATATGAATATATTCTTTCTACAGCTTATCAGCATACACCCAATATGTTCCCCTTGTTGATGATGCTTATTATGCATTATGGTTGAACCAAAAGATTACATGTAACAAAAATGAAATGTAATTGAAACAATTAAATATATACACTACCAGTCAAAAGTTTGGACACACCTACTCATTCAAGGGTTTTTCTTTATTTTTACAATGTTTTACATTCAAAGACATCAAAAATATGAAATAACACATATGGAATCATGTAGTAAACACATTTTTTTTTAACGAATCAAAATATATTTTATATATGAGATTCTTCAAATAGCCACCCTTTGCCTTGATGACAGCTTTGCACATTCTTGGCATTCTTTCAACCAGCTTCACCTGGAATGCTTTTCCAACAGTCTTGAAGGAGTTCCCACATATGCTGAGCACTTGTTGGCTGCTTTTCCTTCACTCTGCGGTCCGACTCATCCCAAACCATCTCAATTGGTTTGAGGTCAGGGGATTGTGGAGGCCAGGTCATCTGATGCAGCACTCCAGCACTCTCCTTCTTAGTAAAATAGCCCTTACACAGCCTAGAGGTGTGTTGGGTCATTGTCCTGTTGAAAAACAAATGATAGTCCCACTAAGCCCAAACCAGATGGGATGGCGTATCACTGTAGAATGCTGTGGTAGCCATGCTGGTTAAGTTTCCCACAAGCAAAGCACCCCCACACCATAACACCTCCTCCTCCACGCTTTACGGTGGGAACTACACATGCAGAGATCATCCGTTCACCCACACCACGTCTCACAAAGACACAGCGTTTGGAACCAAAACTCTCCAATTTGGACTCCAGACCAAAAGGACACATTTCCACCGGTCTAATGTCCATTGCTCGTGTTTCTTGGCCCAAGCAGGTCTCTTCTTTTTGGTGTCCTTTAGTAGTGGTTTCTTTGCAGCAATTTGACCATGAAGGCCTGATTCACGCAGTCTCCTCTGAACAGTTGATGTTGAGATGTGTCTGTTACTTGAACCCTGTGAAGCATTTATTTGGGCTGCAATTTCTGAGGCTGGTAACTCTAATGAACTTATCCTCTGCAGCGGAAGTAACTCTGGGTCCTTCCATTCCTGTTGTGGTCCTCATGAGAGCCAGTTTCATCATAGCGCTTGATGGTTTTTGCGACTGCACTTGAAGAAACTTTAAAAGTTCTTGAAATGTTCCTGATTGACTGACCTTCATGTCTTAAAGTAATGCTTGTTTGAGCTGTTCTTGCCATAATATGCACTTGATCTTTTACCAAATAGGGCTATCTTCTGTATACCCCCCCTACCTTGTCACAAAACAACTGATTGGCTCAAATGCATTAAGAAATTCACTTTTAAGAAGGCACACCTGTTAAATGAAATGCATTCCAGGTGACTACCTCATGAAGCTGGTTGAGAGAATGCCAAGAGTGTGCAAAGCTGTCATCAAGGCAAAGGGTGGCTATTTGAAGAATCTCAAATATAACATATATTTTGATTTGTTTAACACTTTTTTGGTTACTACATGATTCCATATATGTTATTTCATAGTTTTGATGTCTTCACTATTATTATTCAATGTAGAAAATAGTACAAATAAAGAATAATCCTGGAATGTGTAGGTTTGTCCAAACTTTTGACTGGTACTGTATATTAAATTAAATTAAACAATAATGTATGATGATGCTAATATTATGTACAATATCTAATTATGTTGCCATATGATAACATAAGCCTAATATGTTCAACATGCTGTAAACTATTGTCTTGTAACAGTTTCACTCAATTCATTCTCATCAACCTAATAATTATGACACACCCCCTCACTATTGTCATTGGTTGCACTAATTGCACTGTTTGTCTACATAACCTGGTTCAAGCATTCATGACATTACCCTGAAGAAGGCACAGTGATACCGAAACGTTGGTGGTTTACCCAATAAATGACTGGGAGTTTATACATAGAGTGTGCAACTCTCTTTATTTTTTTTTATAGCTTACAGTTTATTCCCTGTTAGTCAGCACCTCTACACTAAATAATGTTCTCTGGGTGTGCGCCAGCTCATGCTTTTTATTAGACATATGTGACATCATGACACAGGGAGTGGTATTTATGATATGATAATTGAAGTATAAGCATACAATTTTCATGAATCTTAGAAGTAACTAAGATTATGTTAAAGCCAAGTATGTATAGGAAATTGCTAACCTGTAGGCAATTTCATTATAGAAAGGGCATTCTTCATTTTGTAGTGTACACCAGCTTTTACCACAGATGCACCGCATTCGGAAGTCCAATAGATGGGGCTATATTGTGATACATTTCTAAAGCTGGATAACTTGATCCACAGTTGTCTCAAAATGAAATTCATATGACAAAAAAGTATCAAAGAGAGAACAAATAGATTAGACTTAGGAAACATTTCAGTGGTGCAGAAAGGCTCCACTAAAAGGTTGAGCATTGTCTCCAGACATTTGGATGCACAGGAGGTTGGTGGCACCTTAATTGGGGAGAACGGGCTTGTGGAAATGGCTGGAGCGGAATAGGTGGAATGGTATCAAATACATCAGAAACGTGTTTGATGCCATTCCATTTGCTCCATTCCAGCCATTATTATGAGCCGTCCTCCCCTCAGCAGCCTCCACTGTTTGGATGTCTAAATCAATATTTAAATGTATGTTTATACACTACTTGACCAAAAGTATGTGGACACCTGCTTGTCGAACATCTCATTCCAAAATCATGGGCAGTAATATGGAGTTGGTCCCTCCTTTGCTGCTATAATAGCCTCCACTCTTCTGGGAAGGCTTTCCATTAGATGTTGGAACATTGCTGCGGGGACTTGCTTCCATTCAGCCACAAGAGCATTAGTGAGGTCAGGCAGTGATGTTGGCCGATTAGGCCTGGCTCGCAGTTGGCATTCCAATTCATCACAAAGGTGTTCAATGGGGTAGAGGTCAGGGCTCTGTGCAGGCCAGTCAAGTTCTTCCACACCAATCTCGACAAACCATTTCTGTATGGACCTCGCTTTGTGCACGGGGGCATTGTCATGCTGAAATAGGAACGGGCCTTCCCCAAACTTTTGCCACAAAGTTGGAAGCACAAAATCATCTAGAATGTAATTGTATGCTGTAGCATTAAGATTTCCCTTCACTGGAACTAAGGGGCCTAGCCCGAACCATGAAAAACATCCCTAGACCATTATTCCTCCACCAAACTTTACAGTTGGCACTATGCATTGGGGCAGGTAGCGTTCTGGCAGCCGTCAAACCCAGATTCGTCCATCGGACTGCCAGATGGTGAAGAGTGATTTATCATTCCAGAGAACGCGTTTCCACTGCTCCAGAATCCAATGGCGGCGAGCTTTACACCACTCCAGCCGAAGCTTGGCATTGCGCATGGTGATCTTAGGCTTGTGTGCGGCTGTTCAGCCATGGAAACCCATTTCATGAAGCTCCCGACAAACAGTTATTGTGCTGACATTGCTCCCAGAGGCAGTTTGGAACTCGGTAGTGAGTGTTGCAACCGAGGACAGACAATGATTTTTACGCGCTACGCGCTTCAGCACTCGGCGGTCCCTGTCTGTGATGTTGTGTGGCTTATTACTTTGAGGCTGAGCCGTTGTTGCTACTATAGACGTTTTCACTTCACAATAACAGCAAATTTCTAGCAGGGCAGAAATTTGACAAACTGACTAGTTGGAAAGGTGGAATCATATGACGGTGCACGTTGAAAGTCACTGAGCTGAATCCACTCATTTGAAGGGGTGTCCACATACTTTTGTATATATAGTGTATGTCATACTCAAAGAGGGGTGATTTCTGTGCAGTTCAAATTAGTTTATATTTATCACATCACACTCATTGTAAGGTGTTCCACTTATACAAGGAATTCTTCAAATATGTTGGCTTTTACAGGTCAATCATCCATAAAATATAAACTTCAAATTATTGCTTTGAATTTGTGTTTGTATGTGGTTTTCTATGTGATAAATGGAGCCACAGAGTGAGAGGGTGAGAACCTGACAACACACAAAAGCAACAGAGACACTTTTGTACTTGGGGAATGTAAAAGTGCTTGTGAAAGAGTGTCTTCCGAGGAAACAGGGGAGAGGGGGAGCAGGAAGAGGCTGCACCTGCAGAAGAGCTCCTCAGTCAGAGTCAGACAGTCACCCGCTGGGGTGGGAGGCAGAGGAGAGGAAGGAGAGAACAGGAGAGGAGATACATCTGTGGTGTTGAGGAGAGGGGGGAAGAGGGCAGAACAGGAGAGGAGCAGAGGACAGAGCAGGACAGGAGAGAACATGAGAGGAGAGAAAAGCAGGAAAGGAGAGACGCAGCTGCACTACAGTTCCGAGGAGAGTGCCGAAGCCGGAGAGAGCAGCCTCCTGCTCTGCTCAAAGCCCTCCTGCTAATTCTCCCATTTAACACTCAACACAAACCACACAATACTGCCATAATCACTGCTGCTCCACTGGAGCTGGTAATCAGATGTAAATAAGGCGCATTGATAACGAGCCACCAGAAGAGGAAATTCCTCCAATTACTATAGCTAGCTCTCTAGAAACTTCACTGAGAGACATGAGAGGAGTGGGAGCCGGGAGGCGAGCAACATACTTCACGACCGCCTGCATCTGAAAGGCAGAGGAGTTGGGCAAGAGAAGGGGGAGAAAGTTCAGATAGCAGAGTGGTGTTGCGATGTAAAATGTTTGGGAACTCATTTTTGTAGTTTGAATTTATTTTCAAGATAGAATAATTGATAGGAATTAATCATGTTTGTTTGACCATGGATTGTGCCTTTAAACAAACATTTGTTTTCTTATATACTGTTATTCTGCAAATAGAATAAAAAATGAGTTTGCATTTATTAAAGAGATATGGAATTTGTAAACCACATTTAATATTACATATTTTAATGAATATTGATGATATTGAGTTACAAATAAATTGCCTATCAAGAGCTAATATATGAATGAAATACTAATATCATACAACTATTTATACTATACTAGGCTATTTTTTGAAGAGTTTCTGGGAAAGTAACACGTTGTAAGAACAAGTGTAGGCTATATCCCATAAATACAGATAACAGTTTTGACTGAATAGGGCCCAAAGCCTTTATGAGTGATGAGCAAAGTGTCCATTCACAACTAGAATTAAAAATTATTAAACGGAGCAGAATGAGATAATCTTCCATCCAAATGAATGATTGTGGGGCTGAGAAAGTAGTGGAGGGTCTGTAGGAGGGGAAAAGAGCTCTGTCGTGACTGTAAACAATGGCCTACGTCTCTGCTTTTATTGTACGTTCCTAACAGACCCAACTAAATAATGTCGACAACTGTGTATAGTAGCACCACAACTGTTTGTCCCCTTGCATAAATAGGTATAATAGTGTTTAAATTACTGTCTTTGATTTTTTTTCTTTGGCGATTGAAAGGAGACAAAAAAATCATTCTAACGGCACAATGATTACACAGCGTTTCCCAGGTGCATATTCGAGTGCCGTCCGTGAAAATAAGCCCTTTGTTGATTGATAGAGCTATTCCAAGAAAGAAAAACAAGACATTGTGAAGGCATGTAACCTCTCCGGATGATATGTTGTGCTGTCTAGTGTCATAAACAACTTGTTTTGCTGTAAACTCATGCAGGCCTGGAGAATGCATCTACAGGTTGGTGAACTACTGCATTAAGTAATTCTCCCCCTGATAGAATAAAAGACCGGGCCAGACGTTTTCCTCTTCTAGTCTTTCTTCAAGTCTTTGCAGGCGCAGGAAGTAATGGACTTTATTTGTATCTGTGTTTGTACTGTGTACAGAGAACAGTTATTTTCTCTGTAAGACTACTTATTGATTAATGGCCAACATGGACTTGATGTGATTGATGCAAGCAACGTGAAACATGGAAATGAGTCTAATATAGAATGGTTTCTTATAGATTTCAGTATTTAGTCAGTGGTTGAGTCCCTTGAAGGCACTGAGCCCTGCATGTGTACTAAATACTGTTTACTGTTTCAAGTTTTACATTTTAATGTCACATGAACAAGTACAGTGAAATGCCTTTCTTGCAAGCTCCAAACCCAACAATGCAAATAAAATAAAATTGTATTTGTCACATACACGTGTTTAGCAGATGTTATAGCGGGTGTAGCGGAATGCTTGTGCTTCTAGCTCCGACAGTGCAGTAATATCTAACAAGTAATATCTAACAATTTCACAACATGTACCAAATACACACAAAACTAGTAAGGAATGGAATTTAAGAATATTTACATATATGGACAAGCAATGACAGAGCGGCATGGACTAAGATACAGTAGAATATTATAGAATAGAATACATATGAGATGAGTAGTGCAAGATATGTAAACATTATTAAAGTGACTAGTGTTCCATTTCTTAAAGTGGCCAGTGATTTCAATAGGCAGCAGCAGACTCTAATGTGCTAGTGATGGCTGTTTAACAGTCTGATGGCCTTGAGATAGAAGGTGTTTTTCATTCTCTCGTACTGACCTCGCTTTTTGATCATAGCGGGGTGAACAGGCAGTGGCTCGGGTGGTTGATGTCCTTGATGATCTTTTTGGCCTTCCTGTGACATCGGGTGCTGTATGTGTCTTGGAGGGCGGTTAGTTTGCCCCCGTAATGCGTTCGGCAGATCGCACCACCCTCTGGAGAGCCCTGCAGTTGCGGGTGGGGCAGTTGCTGTACCAGGTGGTGATGCAGCCCGACAGGAAGCTCTCAATTGTGCATCTGTAAAAGTTTGTGAGGGTTTTAGGTGCCAAGCCAAATTTCTTCAGCCTCCTGAGGTTGAAGAGGCTCTGTTGTGCCTTCTTCACCACATTGTCTGCGTGGGTGGACCATTTCAGTTTGTCGGTGATGTGTACGCCAAGGAACTTGAAGCTTTCCACCTTCTCCACTGCGGTCCCGTCGATGTGGATAGGGGGGTGCACCCTCTGCTGTTTCCTGAAGTCCACGATCATCTCCTTTGTTTTGTTGACGTTGAGTGAGAGGTTATTTTCCTGGCACCACACTCCCAGAGCACTCACCTCTTTCCTGTAGGCGGTCTCATCGTCATTGGTAATCAAGCCTACTACTGTTGTGTCATCTGCAAACTTGATGATTGAGTTGGAGGCGTGCTTGGCCACGCAGTCATGGGTGAACAGGGAGTACAGGAGGGGGCTGAGCACGTACCCTTGTGGAGCCCCAGTGTTGAGGATCAGCGAAGTGGAGATGTTGTTTCCTACCTTCACCACCTGGGGGCGGCCCGTCAGGAAGTCCAGGATCCAGTTGCAGATGGAGGTGTTCAGTCCAGCTGATCTGCACATGCTCTGAGAACGTGCCCTGGAAAACCGTCCGGTCCAGCGGCCTTGTGAGTGTTGACCTGATAAAGACCTTACTCACGTCGGCCACAGACAGTGAGATCACCCAGTCCTCTGGGTCGGTGGGGGCCCTCACGCACAGTACGGTGTTGTTATTGTCGAAGCATGCATAAAATGCATTGAGTTCGTCTGGAAGAGAGGCATCGTTGGGCAGATCATGGCTGGGTCATTCTTTGAAATCCGTAATGGACTGTATCCCCTGCCAAATGTGGCGGGCGTCGGAGCCTGTGTAATATGATTCCACCGTATTCCTATATTGTCCTTTTCCTCGTTTGATGACTCTGCAGAGGTCGTAGAGTGACTTCTTGTACTTGTTCCTGTCCTCAGCTGTAGCCTCAGGGTGTCTGCGGTAGCCCTGTGTGCGGTAGCCCTGTGTGCGGTAGCCCTGTGTGCGGTAGCCCTGTCCTTTATCTTAGCACCAAACCCGTGTTAATGCAGGGCTTTTGATTGGGGAAACAGCGAACCTTCACTGTGTGGACAATGTCGCTGATGCATTTCCTTATGAAGCCAGTGACGGAGGTGGTTAGCTCGTCAATGTTATCGGCGGAGTCTCTGAACATATTCCAATCAGCGCTAGCAAAGCAGTCCTGTAGCATAATCTCTGATTTTGATGACATTTCTCAATGGAGCGAGTCACGGGTACTTCCTGTTTGAGCTTCTGATTGTAAACAGGAAAGCAGGAATACGGACACATGATCTGATTTGCCTAATGGCGGATGAGGGAGGAGGGCCTTGTATGCTTCCTTGTGGGTGGAGCAACAGTGGTCTAGGACTTTATCGCCCCTAGTGGCGAAGGAGGTGTGTTGATGGAGGTTTGGCATCACGTGTATTAATGACGCAGAATTAAAATAGCCGGTGACAAGAAAGGCTGCAGCACATGCATCTTTAGTACATTATAATATACAGTTGAAGTCGGAAGTTTACATACACTTAGGTTGGAGTAATTAAAACTCGTTTTTCAACCACTCCACAAATTGTTAACAAACTATAGTTTTGGCAAGTCAGTTAGGACATCTACTTTGTGCATGACACAAGTCATTTTTCCAACAATTGTTTACAGACAGATTATTTCACTTATAATTCACTGCATCACAATTCCAGTGGGTCAGAAGTTTACATACACTAAGTTGACTGTGCCTTTAAACAGCTTGGAAAATTCCAGAAAATGATGTCATGGCTTTAGAAGCTTCTGATATGCTAATTGACATAATTTGAGTCAATTGGAGGTGTACCTGTGAATGTATTTCAAGTCCTACCTTCAAACTCAGTGCCTCTTTGCTTGACATCATGGGAAAATCAAAATAAATCAGCCAAGACCTCAGAAAATAAATGTAGACCTCCACAAGTCTCGTTCCTCATTGGGAGCAATTTCCAAACGCCTGAAGGTACCACGTTCATCTGTACAAACAATAGTACGCAAGTATAAACACCATGGGACCACGCAGCTGTCATACCACTCAGGAAGGAGACGTGTTATGTCTCCTAGAGATTAACGTATTTTGGTGCAAAATGTGTAAATCAATCCCAGAACAACAGCAAAGGACCTTGTGAAGATGCTGGAGAAAACAGGTACAGAAGTATCTACATCCACAGTAAAACGAATCCTATATTGACATACCTGAACGGCCGCTCAGCAAGGAAGAAGCCACTGCTCCAAAACCGCCATAAAAAAGCCAGACTACGGTTTGCAAATGCACATGGGGACAAAGATCGTACTTTTTGGAGAAATGTCCTCTGGTCTGATGAAAGAAAAATAGAACTGTTTGTCCATAATGACCATCGTTATGTTTGGAGGAAAAAGGGGGCCGCTTGCAAGCCGAAGAACACCATCCCAACCGTGAAGCACGGGGGTGGCAGCATCATGCTGTGGGGATGCTTTGCTGCAGGAGGGTCTGGTGCACTTCACAAAATAGATGGCATCATGAGGAAGGAAAATTATGTGGATATATTGAAGCAACATCTCAAGACATCAGTCAGGAAGTTAAAGCTTGGTCGCAAATGGGTCTTCCAAATGGACAATAACCCCAAGCATACTTCCAAAGTTGTGGCAAAATGGCTTAAGGACAACAAAGTCAAGGTATTGGAGTGGCCATCACAAAGCCCTGACCTCAGTCCTATAGAAAATGTGTGGGCAGAACTGAAAAAGCGTGTGCGAGCAAGGAGGCCTACAAACATGACTCAGTTACACCAGCTCTGTCAGGAGGAATGGGCCAAAATTCACCCAACTTATTGTGGGAAGCTTGTGGAAGGCTACCTGAAACGTTAGAACCAAGTTAAACAATTTAAAGGCAATGCTACCAAATACTAATTGAGTGTATGTAAACTTCTGACCCACTGGGAATGTGATGAAATAAATAAAAGCTGAAATAAATCATTCTCTCTACTATTATTCTGACATTTCACATTCTTAAAATAAAGTGTTGTTCCTAACTGACCTAAGACAGGGAATTTTTACTACGATTAAATGTCAGGAATTGTGAAAAACAGAGTTTAAATGTTTTTGGCTAAGGTGTATGTAAACTTCCGACTTCAACTGTACAACATACCTTCCTTCATCTGTGTAAACACAGCATGTGTAATAGCATAAAACACATTTGAATGTGATAATACTTTCAGTGCCTACAATGCCTAACTGTTATTTTATTGATTTTTTGTCCACATAGTTCCAAACTGCTGCAAGAGATCCCGAGCATCGAAACCCTGTCAGATGAAATGGAGACGCTGAAAAGACACCTCTCTCAGATCGGCTCGCCGACCGTGCTGTGTCACAACGACCTCCTGACTAAAAATATAATCTACGACAACAAAGAGGGTGGGTGAGGGTGTATGATGGGTCTTAGTGCCTGGAATTTAAGTTGCAACACTGACATTAAAAGTGATCCAAGCGAGTTAATTTTGTAGTTAAAAAGATATTTGTTCTGCCAATCTGGTGCAATAGACCATCAGTGTCGGTAAGAATACAAGATTGCCATATTTTAGACTCAATAACTCTGATGTCCCTTCGATTTCACTTATTTTCGTAAAATGGTCTGATTGTAGGACATGTTCCACTTTAAAACTTTGACAAAATGTGGTTCACAAAACGGTCACGATCTATCCCACAGCTTTCCTTTATTTTGCTATGCATACTAAACCTATACCCTATTCTCTTAATCCTCTTTTAATAATGTCCTAATGTCATTTCAAACTTGTGGCGTTGTTATGATGCATGTATGGCGATTATGATTAAGAAATGATTCCTGTTTCTCTGAATCTTGTCAGGGACTTTGTAGTTGTAACAGTAAAGCACAAACTAAAAGATGATATTGGAACATAATATGGAGTAAAATGGAAAATCATTTCATTGTATCTAATTGAGGAATTTTAGCACTGACTTTTGGCCATTGACAATAGTGCGGTAGGTAGCCTCGAGGTTAGGCTAAAAAGGTTGCTGGTTCAAATCTCAGAGCCGACAAATTGAAAAAACTGTCACTATACCCTTGAAAAAGGCACTTAACCCCAATTGCTCCAGGGGCACTGGACAATGGTGACTCTGGCCATGACCCCACTCCCTCCGGGTGTCCCAAGGGGAGTTTGGATTCGCAAGAAAAACATTTCCATTACACACTTGGAATGATGAACACTTGTACAAGTGTGTAACACGACAAATATAAGCACCACCAACATTATTATTTATTGAAGCTTTCAGAGCACACTATCAATTATAGCAACATAAATAGGGTACAGACTTGTGTTTCAAATACTTGAAGTCTGCCATGTGGGTGGAGTTGGCAGTTTTGGGACTTTGATTTATTAAGCCAGGCAAGCTCCAACAGGCCCAGGTAAAGTATTTGAAATCCAGGTCTGATAGGGTAATACAGTGCCTTCGGAAAGTATTCAGACCTCTTTACTTTTTCCACATTTTGTTAGGTTACAGCCTTATTCTAAAATTGATTAAATCGTTTTTTTCCCTCATCAATCTGCACACAATACCCCATAATGACAAAGCAAAAACAGTTTTTTAGAAAAGTTTGCTAATTTATAAATTAAAAAAAAACGGAAATATCACATATACAAAAGCATTGCGACCCTTTACTCAGTACTTTGTTGAAGCACCTTTGGCAGCGGTAACAGCCTCGAGTCTTCTTGGGTATGACACTACAAGCTTGGCACACCTGTATTTGGGGAGTTTCTCCCATTCTTCTCTGCAGATCCTCTTAAGCTCTGTCAGGTTGGATGGGGAGTGTCGCTGCACAGCTATTTTCAGGTCTCTCCAGAGATGTTAAATCGGGTTCAAGTCTGGGCTCTGGCTGGGCCACTCAAGGACATTCAGAGACTTGTCCCGAAGCCACTCCTGCGTTGTCTTGGCTGTGTGCTTAGGGTCGTTGTCCTGTTGGATGGTGAACTTTCACCCCAGTCTGAGGTAGTGAGCGCTCTGGAGCAGGTTTTCATCAAGGATCTCTCTGTACTTTGTTCCGTTCATCTTTCCCTTGATCCTGACTCCCAGTCCCTGCCGCTGAAAAACATCCCCACAGCATGATGCTGCCACCACCATGCTTCACTGTAGGGATGGTATTGGCCAGGTGATGAGCAGTGCCTGGTTTCCTCCAGACGTGACACTTGGCATTCAGGCCAAAGAGTTCAATGTTGGTTTCATCAGACCAGAGAATCTTGTTTCCCATGGTCTGAGAGTCTTTAGGTGCCCAAACTCCAAGCAGGCTGTCATGTGCCTTTTACTGAGGAGTGGCTTCCGTCTGGCCACTCTATCATAAAGACCTGATTGGTGGAGTACTGCAGAGATGGTTGTCCTTCTGGAAGGTACTCCCATCTCCACAGAGAACTCTGGAGCTCTGTCAGAGTGACCATCGGGTTCTTGGTCACCTCCCTGACCAAGGCCCTTCTCCCCCGATTACTTAGTTTGGCTGGGCGGCCAGTTCTAGGAAGAGTCTTGGGGGTTCCAAACTTCTTCCATTTAATAATGATGGAGGCCACTGTATTCTTGGGGACCTTCAATGCTGCAGACATTTTTTGGTACCCTTCCCCAGATCTGTTTCTCGACACAATCCTGTTTTGGAGCTCTACGGACAATTCCTTCGACCTCATGGCATGGTTTTTGCTCTGACATGCACTGTCAACTGTGGAACCTTATATAGAAAGGTGTGTGCCTTTCCAAATCATGTCCAATCAATTGAATTTACCACAGGTGGACTCCAATCAAGTTGTAGAAACATCTCAAGGATGATCAATGGAAACAGGATGCACCTGAGCTCAATTTTGAATCTTATAGCAAAGGGTCTGAATACTTATGTAAATACGTTTTTTGTATATTAGCAAAAATTTCGAAGAACCTGTTTTCGCTTTGTCATTATGGGGTATTGTGAGTATATCGCTGAGGAAATGTTTTTATTTAATCCATTTTAGAATAAGGCTGTAACATAACAAAATGTGGAAAAGGTCAAGGGGTCTGAATACTTTCCGAAGGCACTGTACATCTATTGCTGAGGTGCCACAGAACAGTTTACTAATGTGTATGTGTCATTGTAATAATCTGTATTAACCCTACATTGCTCTCTCCTCCTTTAGGCATGGTGAGATTCATTGACTATGAGTATGCTGATTTTAACTACCAGGCCTTCGACATAGGCAACCATTTCAATGAGTTTGCAGGTGCGTTACTTCAGTTTATAATTCATAGGGAGTGGCCCCTGATCCGTGACCGGTTCTTTAATTTCTGAGGCTCCGTATCTGTATCTCGCAGGAACTTGAGATTTATTTTCATAACCTGGACCGGGTTAACTGCATAGTTAAATGCCAAAAAGAGATTAGCAATGTCACTATGCAAAACCAAACAAACCATACAAAAATAGCCAGTACAGAAATGTCATTTACTTAGGTGGTTTTGCAGTTTGCACTCCACCACAACAAGTAACAGGTCATGTTGTCATTAGCTAGCTAGCTAGCTTGTTAGCGACACTAGATAGCGAATTAGCGAGCTAACGTTAGATAGCTAGCTAGCAGGCCTCAGTAGACAATTTAATCTTGATAGCCAACAAGTTAGTACCATCAGTCTCCGGCATTGATCTAAAGAGTTTGCTAAAGGGCTACTTAGCTAGCTAGCTAACGTTAGCTGGTTCTATTTGGAGCCTTAGCTGAGAGCGGTTGCTTGTCATGGTATAGCATAAACTGCAAAACCACATAAGTAAATAACGTTTTTTACAGTTGTAGTGGCTATTGTTGTTTGTCACTGAGGTGTCTCTCACAGATGGGGAATCAGAGAGAAAACTTGTTTTATTTAAATGTATTTCAATATTTTGTTTCGCTTTCAACATTGAACTTGTACTTACCAAGCTCATTAAATGGACAATACACTTTCAAAGTATTGTTTTCAGACCTCTAAAGTAGTCTGTTTTCAGATCTCTAAGTCTAATGTCAAGATGAGACCCCTGTCCATCTATATGCCTCCACCCCAAATGAATAGAAAAGATAAACTGACAAACTTTCATTTATAACTAAAATGTCCCTTTAAGATGTGTAATCAAACCCTATGGTTTGACAAGTTCTCATTTATCTGTGTGTTTGATCCATCCCCAAGGTACGAGTGACACTGACTACAGCCTGTATCCCAGTCCTGAACTGCAGAGGGATTGGTTGACTGCTTACCTTGAGAGCTACAAGCACAGTGTGGGGCTGGAGGCCACAGTTACAGAACGAGAGGTCCAGAAGCTCTATGTTCAAGTCTGCAAGTTCTCACTGGTGAGAGTCAATGGCACAGCACCCAGTATTCGGCATTGATATTTCACCATAGTCTAAGTAGACAGGCAATAGTAGAGTTTACCAATCACAGCAAAATACAGTATATCGACTTTCTGACACACATAGATTTTTTGTGTTAATTGGCTGACACACATCCATTTAGTATGAGTATTTGTCGATGCAGAAACAAGTAGTAGTTTGTGCAGGGGTGCCTGAATTTCACTATAGTACCGAGCACTGGCAAGGTTCAAAATTCAAACTAACATCCAACTATGTCCGTTTACGGGTCGAGATTCCCAAAAAGCAAAGTCCCACCCACTCTGTATGATCGACCTAGCGCTCTATGCATTTTGACAGACTCTATCGGAGTTGATTTGAAACCAGTGCAAGAAAAATAACAGACAGCAGCCAAGATGTATTTTTTTTTTACAACCACAATTTTCTGTCGTTTGAGGCTCAAGTGGTGCTGGACTAGACAAATGGTGCTTTCATAAGTCGACACAATATGCAAGATTGTCTTGGTAATCTTTGGGGTAGTGTCGATGTCTCTCAAAATAGCCCAGAAATGATGAGAAAGCATTTTCTTTTATAAAATAACTCTGGAGGCAGGAAGAAAAAAAGAATGGCCTGGAAATTAATAAGAGCAGCGATAACATCTTGTTGATTGAAATCAGATTTCTGTGACAAACCGAGAACTCTGGCTTGGTGAAGTGGGAGAAGTCACTCACTCACTGACAACTAATGGCTGTGTCAAGTTTCCAGTCCAAGTAATTTACAAATCTGGCGTAGAGATGGTGGATAAGCTTGTTTATCAAAACAATCACGAGAAAAACGTTTGGCATAGCTGCTTTTCATTTAAAGGCCCAGTGCAGTCAAAAACGTGATTTTCGTGCGTTTTCTATGTATTTCCACACTATGGGGTTGGAATAATACTGTGAAATTGTGGAAATTATGATAATGCTGTTTTAGTGTAAGAAAAGGCCGCCTGTTATTTCAGCCTGTTTGGGTGGGATTGAGTTTTGGCATTACTGACGACATCACCAGGCGTTATAAATTAGTAGACCAATAAAAAAGAGAGAGAAAATCAGATTTCGAGATATGACTAGAAAAATCCCAATACCCCTCCTATACTCAGCTCTTTAGTTATTTGACAGGATGTTTGTAGTTTGCCAGTGTTTTTAGAGTGCAATGTCAGTTAATGGGAGACTCTATAGGTCTACTGAAAGGAAGCTTATTTTGTCCAGGGCATTTCCATGTAAAAGGACCCATGAGCACCAACATGTGAAGTTCATAGGAGTGAAAAGTCTATATTTTTGGGAAATGAAAGCATAGATACATTTTTCAACCATTTTCCATCTTAAAAATCAGGCATAATGGGGGGACGTCACAAAATATATTTTCCCAAAACACAAAAACTCTCCAGTTGTGCAGATGATTCTACAAGTTTCTTTTAGGGTGCAAAAAACATTCACCTGATCTTACAAGAACATTCCCAGAACGCATTTCTTCCCAGAGGACATTCCTATAATGTTGTAAGAATGTTGACAGAACACCTGGTATAAGGTTCCCAGAACATTTTTATTAAGTTATGGGAGTAATATTTTTGTGATATTCACATGTTGCACAATATTCCACAATTTCCAAATAAGTATGTTTTTGTGACGTTCATAGCATATTTGCTTTAGGTTTAACATAATGTTCCATTGATGTTCATGCAATATACATTTTTTACATTGTCTTGGAGGTCCTCAGAACAGTTCAAGAACATTTAGAAAATGTTATATTCAAGTTTTACCTAATATTACCACTTTCTCAGCATGCAAATATGTAGCTCCTTACAGCAGATTGGAATAGATCACCATTATGTTAGTCTTTAATGGCTATTTGCATTTGATACATGGTAATTTAATTTAATTCATAGGACATTTGAACAGCATTTAATCTTAGACACAACCATATTTTTTACATTTCATATGTTGACAATCTGCACATGTGGGGTTTGAATCTCCAATGTTTGGTTCCCAAGCAAGGTCTTTTATACTTTGCGCCACCAGGGAAGCTCTCTTCCTTTTTTTTCAGTATATAGCCATGGCAGTATGGTCAATCAGGAATTCGATGCTTCCTTTTAAGCCTTTTAACCCAGGGAAATACTGGTAACAGGGTTATTCACCATCATTTCACCCATCCTCTTCATATGCTGCATACTTCTGGGCCCATATTTACATGGTATCCAAAACTATGCATGCTGATTTAGGATCACTTTTGTTTTTCAGATCATGAGAAATAAGACCACATCAAGAATCTCAAAGTAGGAATTATATTGGGTGTGTTTTAAAAAAAAGTTGAACAGTAAATTTGTACACAATGTCACTTTTTTACAAAAATGTTTTATAAACATGGTTAAAAGATTATGTGGGATTGATACTGCAATCTTCAGCTCTGAAATCAGATCATGAACCCTCATGAGCCTTGACTAGAATACAGTACTAACATGTGAAGTGGGTAAAACAGTATATAAACAGTATTAAAGTGACCAGTGTTCAATGACTATGTACATAGGGCAGCAGTCTCTAAGGTGCAGGGTGGATAGCTGGCTAGTAACAGTGACTAAGGTTCAGGGCAGGGTACTGGGCGGATTCTCTCGATCCCAGCTTTGATGCACCTGTACTGTCTCCGCCTTCCAAATGGTAGCGGGGTGAACAGGCTGTTGCTCGGGTGGCTGAGTTCCTTGATGATCTTCTTGGCCTTCCTGTGACACTGGGTGCTGTAGATGTCCTGGAGGGTAGGCAGTGTGCCTCCGGTGATGCCTTGGGCTTACCGCACCACCCTCTGGAGAGCCCTGCGGTTGCGGACTGTGCAATATGCCGTACCAGGCGGTGATAAAGCCCGATAGGATGCTCTCAATGGTGCATCTGTGGAAGTTCATGAGGGTCTTAGGAACCAAGTTGAATTTCTTCAGCCTCCTGAGGTTGAAGAGGCGCTGTTGCACCTTCTTCACCACACTGTCTGTGTAAATGGACCATTTCAGGTTGTCAGTGATGTGCACGCCAAGGAACTGCGGCCCCGTAGATGTGGATGGGGGCATGCTCTCTCTGCTGTCTCCTGAAGTCCACGATCAGCTAATTCGTTTTGTTGACTTTGAGGGAGAGGTTATTTTCCTGGCACTACTACGCCAGGGCCCTCACCCTCACCCAACTCGTTGTTGTTGGTAATCAGGCCTACCACTGTTGCGTCGTCAGCAAACTTGATTATTGGGCTGGAGACGTGCGTGGCCATGCAGTCATAGGCAGACCCGGTGACAGGATAAAGTGACCAAGGGGGCAGTTGAAATCGGTGAGGGGGCACAATTTTGGGAAGTTCTTGCATTGGAATTCTATTTCATTCTGCTTATATCACGCTATACCACAATAAACATAAAGTTCAAATGCCAAGACTCCAAGACCATTGATTGAGTGCTTTTGAAATGACGGGTTGGCACAGGTCAGCACAATGGAAAGCAAGGCCAATTTGTTAATGAATATAGGCTACAAGATAGATAGATAGGGTAATTCACCTATTACAAACAGCCTACGTGAATGCAGCCGTACATACAGCTGTCTTACCAAAATAATGCAAACTATATGCTGAAAGTAGTAGCCTAGTTATTCATGCATGCAAACAAAAATACTGAATAGCAGTTTGGCTTATAACAGGGGTTCCCAAACTTTTTCACTCAGGCCCCCCTTCCAGCATTGAGGAACATCCCATGCCCCCCCTGCGCCACCTCTATTTCTATGGGCACAAGCACTGTCCATCACACAAACTTTTGACAACCCTCTTGTTGGTGGAGAGAACATTTTGCAGGGTTTAAAGCTTATTTCCTGCAATTCTACACATTTTGTCATGAGGTGCAGAGACAATTAGCAGTTTTAAAGCTCATTTTCTTGCAATTATATACATTTTGCCATGTCTAATGTGTATTCATGTGATATTTGAGTGACTCAAAGATTACAACAAAATCTATGGGCTAAAAAAACGTTAGCTGACATGGGATAGTTGATCTGGAAATTTCAAAATAGCTCTCTAAGGCAGGGTTTCCCTAACTCAGTCCTGGGCCCCCCCCCCTGAGTGCACATTTTTGTTTTTGCCCTAGCACTAAACAGTTGATTCAACTAATCAAAGCTTGATGATTAGTTGGTTATTTGAATCAGCTGTGTAGTGCTAGAGCAAAAACCAAAACGTGCACCCGGTGGGGCCCCAGGACTGAGTTAGGGAAACCCTGCTCTAAGGTATGCAATGACTGACATGACAAGAGGATTCTACTAGTGCATTCTACTACTACAACTTTCAAGAGTAAGTTGAAAGCTAGACTGAGTTCCTAAAAAATTTAAAATAAAAACATGTAGGAACCAGTTTGGGAACCGACACAACTGCGAATGCGAACAAATGAATGTGAACAGAATAAAATAGCGGTACCAAGTAGGCCTGGTAAACAAAATATCAGATTGATAAATGCATGACACAATCTATATTTAGGCTAGCTACATTAAATCAAATCAAATCTTATTTGTCACATGTGCCGAATACAACAGGTGTAGACGTTACAGTGAATTGCTAACTAACAAACCCTTTACCAACAATGCAGTTTTAACAAAAATAAGTGTTAAATAAAAAATGGATGAGTAAAAAATAAAATAATTAAAGAGCAGCAATAAAATGTGCGGATGTTGCCTGTAATCCATGGCTTCTGGTTGGGTTATGTACGTACGGTCACTGTGGGGACGACGTCATCGATGCACTTATTGATGAAGCCAGTGACTGATGTGGTGTACTCCTCAATGCCATCAGAAGAATCCCGGAACATATTACAGTCTGTGCTAGCAAAACAGTCCTGTAGCTTAGCATCTGCTTCATCTGACCACTTCTTTATTGACCGAGTCACTGGTGCTGCCTGCTTTAGTTTTTGCTTGTAAGAGTTATGGTCAGATTTGCCAAATGGAGGGCGAGGGAGAGCTTTGTACGCATGTCGAGTAAAGGTGGTCTAGAGTTTTTTCCCCCTT